TTCACGAAGTCAAACGATCCTAACCTCTGATGGCAGCCCTCGTGCGGACACACGAGTCGACCTTTGGTCCACTCGACGGCATCCAACTGTCCTCTCATCCATTCAGTGATCAACTCTTCGCACACGTAATACACACTCGACTTCGCGGTACACGAATCAAGTGGTGATCGTGTCTTTACGAGAAGACCAGACGCGGCAATGGTCTCCACCTTATGGTCTGCGGTCTCAGTAACGTTATCTTCGGGATCAATGCCTTCGGGAGTGATCTCTTCACGCGTATTGTCTTTGGAATCGTTATCTTCATATGGGATCTCTTGAGTGGCAGTGTCTTCGACAGCGGCGGCGACAACACGTGGATCCGCGCCATCACTTGTATGGCCACTACTATCACCGTAACTGATGCCGTGGTTTGTGACCAGAATGTTGTCACTGAACAACACTTGACGACACTTTCGGCACTTAATGTCACTCATTGTCTCATTCNTGAATGAAATGCAATGTTTAACACATTTAACGTTTCGGTCAACGCATCACTACTATTGCATTGACGATGTCTTTGCGGTGTTTAGATATTTGGGATCAAATCACCCGAAACTACAGTATCTGTGGTTCTCGAAGACAGACATCAATGATTGGGTGTTAAGCTCGTTGTCCGGACTGACACGACTCCACACCATTAAACTCGATGGCATCGAGTATTTCACGGCAACCAAACTCAACGATTGCTTTAAACTCGTTAACGTCTCAGTCAATGGCAAATCTATTTGTGGTTAGGTTTGGATTAAAAGCAATTTTCCATCGATTCTTGTTTTGAAAATATTTTGTTTAAACTTTTTTACTTTTGAATTTAAAACATAACTTTTTATATTAATGTTTGTGTGTGTTTAAATATAATATTAATATCTAGTTCATTACAGATAATTAGTTTATTAGTATAATAACATAAATTGATTGTTTGTGTATTAAAATATTTTATAAAATCATATTTCATTACTTTAATTATGATTTTAATAAATTATCTTTAGTTATGTTTATTAATTACACGTCAATAATTTTAATAATATGTCTGCTTTTTAGATATATTTAATTCAATAAATTCATTAATTGTATTCTTTAGTAAAAATATAAATTAATTTTGCTTAATATAAAAAAATATTTAAATTAAAAAATTAATACTGTATTTGTTAATTGCATAAAATTTAATAAATAACCCATTGTTTACTATTTGTAAATTTCTCAATGCTGTAGTATATTTCCTTGGAAATGAAATAGATGATTTTGAACCGAGATACAGTACATGTTTGCCAATTTTGTAGTAATAAATATTGGATAACTTATGACAATTTTTATCACTTATTTACTATTGAAACCTTTTAAACAGCCGATCACTACTTACTGCCACTACCCTTGACCAGTAATATCAAGGTAATCACACCATCTCACCATTTAATTGTTAATTGCATATTTCTGCCACCACTTTACTTGTGATCAAATTGTCATTAATGGCTAAAATCACTTTAAAAAGCATATTAATGACAAATTATGAAAATTATCAACAGATTTTAAAAGTTTTAAAAAATAATTCACTCGCAAATATTTTTAGTGCATTAAGAAATTGATAAAAATTTATTACATAACTTATTACATTATTTAATCAATTTAAAAGTGTATCCCATGTCTTAAGAATCCAAATTCTTGTGTAGTTGTAAAACTTAAAATTTGATTAAGTAATAATTGGTTAAATACAGCAGCTTTATTATCTCTTACCAAGCATTTATAATAATGACAGAATATACATTACAAGAATAATTAGTATATTCTATAACAATTAACATTGAGATTAAAATTAATTAAAATTCTTGTATTTTATAAATTCAGTGTTTTAAATATACTGTTTATTCAAACAGCAAATCCACATCCTTAACAAAACTCGTACATACAATGTATTTTATAAAACACACAACAAAATTAAATTTTTTACAATAATGTTTTGTTAACTCGTATATTCTCGCAAAGTCTAGTTTTAAGTAAAAATAATACTTTCATCGTTTGACGCAATAAAAAGTTTTAATAAAAAACTCATTACAACCGCCGATGTCTTACTGTTAAAGTAAATATTTATTTAATCACTAGTCTATCCGTGAAGTAAAAAAGACCTTTGATTTGAAGCGAAATAGATATTATGAGCACAATATTTTCCATTATATTCGCAAAAATCATATGAAATACTGGATAAAAGTTATTTTCCAAAACCATTTCACGAGATTGTTTGCTCTCTAATCACCAAACACTGGATCTGTTGCTTAGAAATAGCAATTAAATACTCGGTTTAATGATAAACCATAAAAAACCAGTGCCAATGGTGTGGTGTTGTACAGTATGTGTGGTTTAGTGCATTGTCTCTCATAAAAGTGGTAAAGTGTATAAATGTGATGCCAATTGTATCCTTGATTTTAACGACACAACATATAAATATCGCATATTCTGTGTCTCCCTGTTTGTCGTGCCTTAAAAAAGCTATACATTTATCACTTGTATAATCCATACCAAGTGTTAGGCGTTAGTATAACTCGTGATCTCAGACACGTAGTCCTCACATACTTTTGTGCACAAAAAAGTTTTCAACAAATATTAAAACATTTTTGGAATATATTTTTAGGTGAATTTTTTTCAATTTTGTAAGTATTCTGTGTTTTAACCACCTATTAAAAGTATTAATTGTTTTATAATAATTTATTTTATAAATTTAACTACTTTTAAAATATTTTTGCTCTTATATAATTGGATTAACTTTCAATCCTTTAATTGTAGTTAATATCTTAATAAAACCTAAATTAATATTAACTAATAGAAAAACACATGCTTTATCATATATTGTTACTAACTAACAATAAATCCTGTTATCAGAATCTTAACCCCGATCAATAACCACAACCCATGTGCTTATATTTCTAAATATTTTCATAAATTGAATAATAAAAGTAATTAAAACTTAATTTTAACCCAAATTATAGCAACAATCAGCGCAACAATGAATGTCTCGCAAACCTATGGCCGCCAGATCTGGACGAGTCTGAAGAAAAACTACGGCGTTTGGCCGGTAGTGGTGTTCGCATTCGGTTTGGCGCCGGTCTTCGTGATCGTGCAGTCCATACACTCGTTGAGAGGGCCCGACTCCCGGTTCAGCAAAGACTTCGAGCCCTGGCATAAGTTTGATAACAAAAAGTTCAAATTCATCTCTAATGAAGACTATCAAAACTATGTCCACCCGAGACCCAGATTTGAAGAATAATGTATAATAACTATAATATACATTATAGTGTCCACACCACCCCTCCCTCCCTGTCCACCCCTGTTCCCTGTTATTTTATATAGATAAGATTAGATAATGAACACTCAATACAAAGCGTATATTATTAATCATAATTTATTATCGCAGGTATAATGATATCATTTTGTTTGCTCTCTTTTCTCCCTCTATATTAACGTAATATAAATTATTGTATTATTTAATAAACGCTTAAATCTATGAAATTAAAGAAAATTTGTAATTCATTCATTAAAACTATGTATAAATTTTACTAGATATAATTATGTTAATTATTAGAGTGGGGGCAGTTCCAACTTATACATCACAAATTTCATGCTCAAGTGTGGTTAAAAATATTGTGCATGGTTAGAATTTTAGTAAAAGTAAAATTTAAACCTTGTACCCTATTAAATTTAATACTGTGTTAAAATTTTTAACTTAAAATATACGTTATTATACAACACAAATATTTGGTTACGTTTTCTATGTATGAACCGTGAATTAATTCATAGACAAACCTACGATTATTTCAATGTGAAAATGCGACAAATTATCCACAAATATTTCTTAACTATTGAACACATATAGCAGTTATGCATTAATTAACCAGATTCAGGGCCAATAATATTAAATGGATTTACAGCGTGAATATGTATGGATTAGCCCATCACTCTGTTTGATGTAATGTTCACTTTTAACACATGCTTTGAAAGTGTTATGCAATTGAATTGATTGAGTTGTTTATCACCAAAACTGGTCCCAAAGTAGTTGTGATAATCGTTTAAATAACCCATCGGTTGACTCATCCCGAAGAAGACACCACTGAATGAGACAATGAGTGACATTAAGTGCCGAAAGTGTCGTCAAGTGTTGTTCAGTGACAACATTCTGGTCACAAACCACGGCATCAGTTACGGTGATAGTAGTGGCCATACAAGTGATGGCGCGGAT